CTTATTCAAATGCTTCTTTTTTATTCTAAAAAGAGTTATATAAAATGGTTAACAAAGATTTACGTTAAAAAAAGGTAAAGTATTGATTTATCACAATACTGTGGGTTTTGTGGTACTTACAAAAATTAAGGTGGCATTCATTTTACAAAGCTTTTGCCTTTGAAATATATTGTAAAATATGATGTTTGAATCTTTTGATTATCTAAAACATGCTTGAAGAAGAGATTTCTCCAATCTTTCTACTTGTTAATTCTGTGAACTCACACTTAATTACTCTAAGCATCAGCTTCCTTCCATCTGTAAGATGGAAATAACATTATCTGCTCTATTTATTAAAAGTGTGAGAATAATTTATTTACGTTGCAATCCATGAACTCCTATTAATAATAATTTTTTTTAAAAGTGAATTTTACCTAATGAGAAAAATAGGATCAGTTTAATTATATGGTAGCCACCTATACTTAGAACTCAGCTTATGGAAATAAGTACAAATGGACATAAAACAGTCCCCAAGCTACAGAGTCCATAAACAATAGAGTTCATGCATTTATATACTATAAAATGCTCTATAAAGCCTTTAAACAGTGTCTGTTTTCTTCTATTATGAGACACTTCATTCATTTTTTCAATAAATGTTTACTGAGTTCCATTTATGCACCATGTACTGATCCAAATACTGGGGCTAATGCAGAGTAGTGGATTTATTTATGTACCCCCCAAACTTACTGAAGCTTGAATTGTGTCACCCAAGTTTCATGTATTATAAACTTGGCCCCCACTGTGACTGTTAAGAAGGTGGGAAATCCTACTATGGTAATTGAAAGGTAGAGCCTTGAAGAGGTGATTAGATTGTAGGACCATGCTGTAGTGAATGGATTAAAAATGGTGGTCAGGGGCGTGATTCTGAGGGCTTTAAAAGAAGAGAAAGGAGAGTCTGTTTTTCTCTCTCTGCTTCCACCATTTTACAATGCGAGACTATTGGGTCACTGTTGCCACCACCAAGGGTCTCACCAGATGTGTTCCCTGGACTTTGGACTTCCCAGCCTCAGAAACTGTAAGCAATGTTTCATTTTCTTTATAAAATACTAGTTCCGTGTATTTTGTTATAAGCAATAGAATCAGAGTAAGAAATGCAGTGAACTGTTCCTTTATTCTAGTTGAGGGAGCATACAAGAAACAAAATAAGGAAAATATATAGCATGTTTGTAGGTACAAAGCTTAGAGAAAAATGAAGCAGGTAAGAAGGATCAGCAGTGTAGGGAGATATTGCAGTTTTAATAGGTGAACAGTGAAGGCCTTATTGACAAAGAGTTTGTTTCCAGCCTTCAGCAGACTAGATGGACTAAAAGAGTACAACTGGTACCTACTGACAACAGAAAGAAGGAACAATGTGAGAAGAGATTTAAAGGAACTTTAAAAAGCAGACACAAGAACTGTGCCTAGAGTTCTAAACATTAATAACAACCAATATGCTCTAATACATTCCTAGGCATTATTACACTACAGTATTGACTGGAAGACATGACTATCAAACCTGATTCATTAGGCAAATGAATAAACTGGGTAATTTTCATAACAGGACCCAATCAATAGCTAATGGATGAGAAGTTTGGGGACTGGCTACTCAAAATGTGATCACCTGGTAGCTTGTAAGAAATGCAGAATCTCACTCTCTGCCCAGAAGCAGGCAAGAGAGCACACCCAGGGTCCTAGACAAGGAGCCGAGGGCCACAACCCCCTCCACCCAAAAGCAGGGAAGACAACATGCCCAGGGTCCTAGGCAAGGAGCCCAGGGCCCTAGGCAAGGAGCCAAGGGCAGTACTCCCTGCCCAAAAGCAGGCAAAAGAGCACGCCGAAAACACCACTCACATGTGGGTGGCCCACCACAGCCACCTCCACAGCCATGGCTGCCAAAAAGGCAGCTTGACGCCACAGCTGCAGCCACAGCCACCATTCAGATGGCCCACAAGACACTCGACTGCACTGACACAAGGAGAGTCAACAGCAGAGACCAGAAAAAGAATAGGATGTCTCTCTTCTCAAAGCCCCTCCAGAGTAACAGAAGAAATAACTGCCCTACCAGATGATGATATGTCAATGTAGAGATACTAGAAATATGAAAACCCAAGAAAATATGATACCACCAAAAGAATACAGTAATTCTTAAATACCAGGCCCTATAGAGCAGGAAAGCCTTGAAATGACAGAAAAGGAATACAGAGCAACAATCTTAAGGAAACTCACTGAGATACAAGAATAATCATAATCATAGACAACATAATGAAATGAGCAAAAAGAAAATCCAGGTTATAAAGGAGGAAATTTACAAAGAGATTAATACCTTACAAAAGAATGTAGCAGAACTCATGGAACTAAAAGAGTCACTTAACAAGATAACAAACACAACCAAAGCTTAAGCAGCAGGCTACAACAAGCAGACAAAGAATTTCTGACCTTGAAAACAGTCTTTTCAAAATAACCCAGGCAGAAAATAAAAGGAGAAAAGAATTTTAAAAGATTAAGAAAATCTAAGAGAGCTACCAGACAACCTTAAGCAGAAAAATATTCAAAACATGGGTGTTCCAGAAGGGGTGGAGAAAGGAAAAGGCATGGAAAACCTATTCAACAAAATAATAATGGAAAATTCCAGGTACAGGGACAGATATGCACTTTCAGATCCAGGAGGCTCCGAGATTCAACCCCAAAAGATCCTCTCTAAGACATGTTCTATTCAAACTGGCAAAGCTCAAAGGCAAGGAGAGAATCATAAAAGAAGCAAGAGAAAAGTGTCAAGTCACCTATAAGGCATCCCCTATCAGATGAACAGCAGACTTCTTAATAGAAACTCTATAGGCCTGAAGAAAATGGGATGACACATCCAAAATACTAAAAGAAAAAAACTGCCAGGCAAGAATACAATACCGAGCAAGGCTATCCTTCAGAAATAAGGGGAAAATAGTATATATTCCAGACAAACAAAATCTGTGGGAGTTTACCACCACATAACGAGCCCTATAAGAAATCCTCAAGTAAGAACTGCATCCGGAATCCAAAAAACAATGATCATTACCACAAATACACAAGAAAGAACAAAATCCACAGGTAGAACAAAAAATGCCAATGAGAAAGACAATGAAACTAAATCTTTCCACCATAAAAAGCCATAGTGACAATGTAATAATGCTCCTATTTTTTCTGATTTTAGTAATTTTGGTCTTTTCTCTTTTTTCTTGGTCTGTTTAGATAAAGGTTTGCAAATTTTGTTGATCTTTTTTTTTCCTTTTTGTCTTTTTTCATGTCCGGCAATGGATCGCAACCTTCAGTGTCGCGTCCGTACCGGACCGGGACCGGCAACGGGATCGCAACCCTCGGCGTTGCACCCGCACCTCGCTCAGCCAGTGAGCAGGA